CCACCTATGGTTGTCTCCACATGTTGACAGATGTTACCGCTATGCAAAATCATCCCTGGTTGAGAACCACTGTCCTAGAGCAATCCCTTTTTTAAAAATGGGAAGAGGTATAATTTAAAAAGTTAATACGTACATTAAAATGCAATTCTAAAAAGTATTTAAATAATCTAACAGAAGGTGGGAAAGAAAAAATAGCAATAAAAACTGAAGGGATAAACAGAAAATAAATGTTAAACTCTATTTCAGCAATATCAACAACTATTTTAGTATCAATGAGCTAAACACTCCTGTTGAAAGACAAAGATTGTCAGACTGATATAAAGAAAAAAAAAAGGCAAGATCCAAATACAAGCTGTGTACAAGAGATGCATTTGAATATGAAGACATAGGTTGAAAATAAATAAATAAATAAATGGGAAAATACGCCGTGGATAAAAAAACGGAAGTAACTGCATTAATTCAAGATTTAAAAAAAAAAGATTTCAAGACACAAAATATCAAATAAAAAGGGTCATTTCATAATAACAAAATTTTAGGAAGATATAACTATATGTATATGTGTATATATATATATATATATATATATATATATATATATGCCTAATAACAAAAATTGATAGAAAGTAGGAAGAAATAAGTAATTCTTGATCATGGTATGAGATTGTTAACACAGCAATTAATAGAACAACCAGACTAAAAACAACAACTAAACAACAACAAAACAAGACATGGAAGATTTGAACAACACTGGTATTTATAGAAGCTAGTCACAACTTCTGTATAATATATAGTATTCAAGAGCACATGGTGTGTTCCCCAGGAGAGACTGAATGCAAGGCTATTAAATAAATTTCAATATTAAAAAGATTGAAAGCATACAAAGTATAATCTCTAGGCACAAAGAAGTTAAATTAGAAATCAGTAAACTAAGGTAATTAGTTTTTTTAGTAGAATATTCTAAATTAAACAAAATACTTGTAAATAATCTAAGAGTCAAAAATGAAATCATAAAGGAGATGAGAAAATATTTTGAACTGAATAATAAAAACGCAACATCAAAATATGTGGGATACAGCTAAAGCAATGTTTAAAGAGAAACCTACAGCTTTAAAATGCTTAGATTAAAAAAGGAGGAAAGGTCCAAAATCACCAACTTAAGCTATGAAAAAAAAGAACAAAGTAACTGGAAAGAATGAAATAGTAAAAATAAGAGTAGAAATCAATAAAATACTTACAACTCATAAGCAAGTTTAGCAAGGTTGTTCGATATAAATATACCAAAACTAATTGTATTGGCAACAAGCAGTCTGAAAATGAATAAAATACTTGGGAATAAATTTAACAAAAGAAGTGCAGATTCTGTGCACTGGAAAACACAAAACATTGCAGAGAGAAGTTAAAGATATCTAAATAAATGGAGAGATATACCATGTTTGTGGATTAGAAGACGGTATGGTTAAGATCAGTAGTGGGCTGACTTATGTAGTGGACAACAAAGTAAATACTTTAGGCATTGTGAGTCATGCAGTCTCTGTTACAACTATACCACTCTGCTGTTGTAGCATGAAAACAGCAATAGGTAACACATCAATGAATTGGTAGTGCTATGTTATACCAGTAAAACTTTATTTATAGAAATGGGCAGTAGGCTGGATTTGGCTTGCAGATTATTGTTTGCTGACTTCTCATTAAAATGACAATTGTCTCTGGAGCGCCCGTGTGGCTCAGTCAGTTAAGCGTCTGCCTTCGGCTCAGGTCATGATCCCTGGGGTCCTGGGATCGAGTCCCATGTTGCACTCTGCTCATCGGGGAGCCTGCTTCTCCCTCTTCCTCTGCCACTCCTCCCCCCCACCCCCCACCGCTTGTGCTCTCTCTCTCTTTCAAATAAATAAATAAAATTTTTTTAAAAAGATGACAGTTGTCTCCAAATTGATTTATAGATTCAATGCAGATCCTCTCAAAATTCCAATAGCTGTTTTTTTAAATTGACAAAGCTATCCTAAAGTGTATGTGAATATGCAAAGTTACTAGAATAGCCAAAACAACTTCAAAAAAATAAATGATTTACTTGTGTTGATTTTAAAACTTAATATAAAGCTACAATAATCAAGAGACTGTGGTAATGGTATAAGGAAGACCTATACATGGATGAAATAAGAGCTTATTTCATTGGATGAAATAAGAGCTATACCCTATTGGTATGAGCGTAGACCTATATATGGATGAAATAAGAGCTAAAACTGTAAAACTTCTTGAAGACAACCCAGGAGAAACCTTTATGACCTTGGATTAGGCAAAGGTTTTTTAGATAAACACCAAAAGTGACTGAAAGCAGATTAATTATATCCTAGTTTGGGATGTGGAGGGGAAGATATAGATTACAAAAATACACGTGGGATTTTGTGGGAGATGACTGAAATGTTTGTTATTTTGATTGTGGTGGGGTGGTTTCATGGGTGTATACAACTGTCAAAGACTCAGGAAATCATGTACTCTAAATGGATCTAGTTTATTTTTCATACAAATAATAAAATCTCAAAGTTGATTAAAAAGAGAAAAAACTTAATGTAAAGTTAAGTAGCTGATTAGAAACAAAGAGAATCAATGATCTGGAATATAGATTTGAAGTAATTGCTCAGAGTACAAAGCAGAGAAACGAGGAAGATGGGGAAAATGATAGAGAATTTAGATACATGCATGGATGGATGATAAAGGGAGGAGATCCAACAACGTTTATTAAATGGGAGTTCAGGAAGAAGATAATAGAGAAAATGGAAGAGAGGCACTATTCAATCAAATAGGTAATGGTCTAGAGTTCTCCAGAATCCATGAAAGTCACAAGCTCTTAGATTAAAGTGTCTCGGCAAACACCATGCAAGACAATAAAAAAGAAACCTTTACTTAATGTGTTGTAGTACAGCTATTAAATAGTAAGACAAAGAGAATATCACAATGTGTTGTAGTACAGCTATTAAATAGTAAGGCAAAGAGAATATCACAGAATTAGAGAGGAGAGACAAATTACATAAATGGTTTAATAAAATAGAAAAAAACACAATAGGATAGAACTAAACATCTATTCTTGATAAAAGCTCTTGGCAGAATTGGATTTGAAGTGAATTTATGTAATCTGAGAAGTGCTACCTGGTAAATCTGATAAAGCTACCCAAAACAAAAACATACAAAACATATTATTCCCTTAAGTTCAAGAGTGAGACAAGATGCCCACCAACCATTACTCCTTGCTTGTTCAGTAAGACAAGAAGGAAAAATAAGTTTAAGGGTTGGAATGAAAGAAGCAAGACTGTCATTGTTGCTTATATGTTTGTGTATGCAGGAAGCTGAAAGAATCTTGAGATTGTAAGCATCTCTCTACACCAACCACAATTTTGAAAACAACTAAAATGCAACAAAAATATAAGGTTTCTATGAATATATCAAAGAAAAGATAGGCAAGGCTTTTACTGAGAGAATTATACAACTTTATTGAAAAAATTAAGAAAGCTTTTAAAAGGTAGGAGACGCTGTGCTCAGGGACAAGGAGACTGAATATTTTAAAGATGTAATTGTCTTCAAATGAATCTGTAGAGTCAGTGCGGTCTTGTTAAAACTGCTGTGGGTTTTTACATGAAATTTGACAAAAGTTGCACAGAGGAGCAAAGGACTGAGTGGAGCCCAGGTACTCTTGAAGAGCAAAAAAAAGGGGGGGGGGGAGGATTCTTAGCCTACTAAATATCAAGTCTATTCTAAAAGCTATGGGACTTACTACAAATAAACCAGTGGGGACAGAATAGAGAGCCCTCTGTGTATGGAAACTTATTATATGCCAGAAAGTGGTATTGCAGGTCAGTGGATGATCATACCATTCTCCAGAGTAGGAAATCAGTAAGTAATGCCTAATCGTGAAATTCAAGAACTAATAGTATAGTCATATTATTTAGAAATTTGGAGGTAAACGCCAGAGTTAAAGCTAAAAGAGTTGAAAATGGTTGCCGCTGGGGAAAGGGAATTATGAGATGGAGGTGAGCAGGAAACAGGTAAATTCCTTTTTTTAAATAATAAATCTTTTAGAAACTCTCTTTAAAGTTGGTAAAGAGAAGAACTGAAAAGTGAAAATGGTTTAATATAAAAACATATGGTATCATGTAAAAGGGTGTTTTTTTAAAAAAATCTTCTTTTTCTACAGTATGCTGAACATACTTCGATTTTATCTTCTTGGTACTGCAACCCATGACCAGCATGTTAGGCCAACTCTGATTTATCGGAATATATCAAAATGTGCATATACATAATTTTATTTTTTTAACTGTAAAAAGCTTTTACAGTCTTCAAGTGGTTTTTATTTTTGATGTTTGAAGTAAGTTGTCATTGGATAATTTTATGTTGTATACTTTTAGTCCTTACTGAGTGAGTTAGAAATTATTTCATTGATTCCTAAATATAACTTTTTTTTTAGTATTAAGTCGTTATTATTTTAAGAAAGATATTACCAGTCTTTCTACATTTCCTTTTTTTCAAATAACAGAAGAGAACAAGGGATTTAATGTATGTAGTAGCTCTATTCTCATCTGTTCCGGTTAAGCATTATCTAGAGTATTATACTCTTCCTGTTGCTATACTGAGGAGTACCAAAACAAACAAACAAAAAAAAGTAAATGATACCCAAAAAGATGAATGGGATGATGTCAGCTAATAGGATGCCATGTGAAATAGGAATTTGTGCTGAAATCACAGTAAAAACAATAGAGGAAGTTACAGTAGCCACATTTTGCTTAATATCAGGAAGCACTTTCTAGGAACAGAGGATTCCTAGCATAGCAAGAAGCTGATTCTGAAGAACAGAACTCTGTCAAGTATGGGTTAGGTATCCTTATATTAAATTCCTGAGAGATGGCTTCTTCATTGTATGAAAGTTGATCTCTAAGGTCCTTTTAAAATTTTCAAATTATTTCGTGACATTGAGATACTTGCTTAGCTTTGAAGTATTTTGTGTTTTTCAGACCAGTGAATGGAGGTTAAGCTATGTCAATAAGGAATTTGCTGTCTGCCCTTCTTACCCGCCAATTGTCATAGTTCCCAAATACATTGATGATGAAGCTCTTCGAAAGGTAGCTATGTTTCGACATGGAGGACGCTTCCCAGTACTCAGTTATTATCATAAAAAAAATGGAATGGTAAGTAAGTGTATGGTACTGCTGCTTGATCCACTGAAAGTCTTAGTTTACGGATCTTTTCTTAGAAATACTCCCTTTTCTGTGTACTTGTTCATGGATGTGATTAGTCTCTCCCGCTACGACTTCCTTCTTTTAAACGTTAGGGAATCAGGAGTAGTATGTTTTGTGATTAGGATAGGATTTTGAATTCTTTACATGATGCTGCTCAAAATTAGGCCAGATAGGCTTATCTTCAGGACTCAGTACAAAGGAAACTAATGATCATTTGACACTTTAAATAATACTGTTAGGTAGAAAAATAAATTTCTCCAACCAGAATAATGGTAAGATACTTTGTTTTAATTATCTTTACTAAATTTCCCTGTAAAAGGTAAATTGAGCAGACATTTTTATTTTCAAAATGGAGAAGAGTGACACATGTTATTGTTACAACTTTAGTACAGGAGTCAGTAATTGAATAGGCAAGCACTTGCTGTGTGTTTCCAAAATATTTTCTTTCTTTTTCTTTTTCGTTTTGAGAGAGAGTGCACGAGTTGAGGGTGAGGGTAGGGTAGGGCAGAGGGAGAGAGAATCCTAAGCAGAAGCATGGAGCCTGACGTGGGGCTCGATCCTGTGACCCTAAGATCATGACCTGAGCCGAAATCAAGAGTTGGAGGCCTAACTGACTGAGCCACCCAGCCGCCCCCTAAATATTTTCTAAATCTATTTCTGTTCTCTTATTTTCTCTCAGTCAATAACTCTGTTTCTCATTTTGAAACCAGTAGTAAATTAGTGGATAAGTTATACTCATATTCCATTTCCCTTTTTTCCCTGGATAGTAAGTATGGATATTTAGACTAAAAAGGTTTCTAAAAATTTGCTATTTTGACATCAGGTCTTCTATCCTGTTTGCTCAGTAGTTTTTCTGTTAATCAGTGTTCATCACAAAGCATTTTAAAAAATACTAAATATACTATGTGTCTATTTACATGGTTAGCGCAGACTGGGAGTTAACTGTTGTCATCTTCTGGATGACCTTTCTTCATCATGTTAAATTTCAAGGCAGTTAAGATAACAGCATATATATTATGGGATGAAATGGAAATAACTCTAAACTATTCACCAGGGAAGAGACCAGTATAATACTGATTTCTTGAGAAAAGTTTCAAAATCAGACTTTCAAAATATATAGTTGATAGTCTTTGGAAACAAGTTTCTAGGTCTTGAAATACTGAAAAGGATGAAAGAGGGCCATAGGAGAATAGATAGTAGACAGCTTTCAGGATATTAAAAATGATTCCCACAAGAAGAATAGTACATAAGCTTTTTTATCTTGGCATTGGTGCCTTTTCTCTTTATAATTCTTTTCCTTTTTAAAAAGATTTATTTATTTGAGGGGGGCAGAGGGAGAGAATTTCAAGCAGACTCCCCACTGAGTGCAGAGCCTGACATGAGGCTCGATCTCAAGACCCTGAGATCATGACCTGAGCTGAAACCAAAAGTTGGACGCTTAACCGACTGAACCACCCAGGCGGCCCTTTACAATTTTTTTAAAGATTTTATTTATTTATTTATTTGTCAGAGAGAGAGAGCACAAGCAGAGGGAGAAGCAGTCTCCCCAATGAGCAAGGAGCCCGATGTGGGACTCGATTCCAGGACCATCATGACCTGAGCCGAAGGCAGACGCTTAACCAACTGAACCACCCAGGCATCCCTATAATTCTTGATAAAACCTGCCAACCCTGTTTATATAGTTGAAACAGAAGTTTACCAGCACGTAGGCCATTATTCTTGTATTACAAGGCTGTGTCCAGTAAAGAATTTACTGACTAAATGAATTATAATGTTTGATCTCTTTAGCAATTATAATGTATTATGTGGAAATATTTTGAGATATTAGGAAGAAAAACTGTTTAAAGTGCAGGGCTTATTTTTGTTTTACAGTTATTAATTATTGCAAATATATAGAACTATTTCTTTGTTTCAGGATCAAATTCATTTCAAAGTGTCACACAATTGTTTTTGAGATGCTCTTAATCTAGGTAATTCATTTCTGTTTTCAGAAACTTTCAAAGCAACTAGTCTTCAATTTTAAACTGCATTGTGCTTCTAGGTAATCATGCGAAGTGGTCAGCCACTCACTGGCACAAATGGGAGAAGGTGCAAAGAAGATGAAAAGCTGATAAATGCTACCCTCAGGCCAGGAAAACGAGGCTACATCATTGACACCCGATCTTTAAATGTAGCTCAGCAAGCTAGAGCCAAAGGTGGCGGATTTGAACAAGAAGCTCATTATCCCCAGTGGAGGCGGATTCATAAGTCCATTGAGAGGTAAAAGACTCTGGAGACAGTAATGGACTTTTATTAGAAGCAAATTAGAGTGAGTGAGCCCTTAGCTGTTCAAAGGTCACAAGTTCTCAAACGAACCTACCCATTAACTTAAAGTCAGAAATTGGCTGGATATCCTGTCGTGTTTTATAAGATGAGCGGGAAACTTAATCTTGGACTTGCCCAAAAGCATGCTTTCTCTAAGTGAACTCTTCAATTTCATCACTGCAAGGTCTGTTCCTCTATTAGTAGATCACTGGTCACCACACTTAGTGAACAGATATGCTACAGATAAGTATATTTTTCTAAGTCAGAATTCTGGCTAGAGACTTCCTTTCCCCCACACCCACCTAATCTCACATGGTATTTCCTCCACCAGTATCTTTTATGTTTGCAGTTAGAGGTTTATAAGGGCTTCTGGAATGGGTGGGTGGGGGTTGGAGCTAATAAAACGATGGGGTCTGAGCTGGCCTCGGCCATCCCTGCTGAAGGAACCAGGTGTCTAGCGTTGGATTTGTGGGAACAGGATGGCAGATGTCAGTGGTGTGGCCTCGTGACTTGTCACAAAATGCAGTGTTCTGTCCTGTTCCCTAGTCAGATAATTCCGCTGTGTGAACTGGTTTAATCTGTTCATCTGAGGAATGACAGGCGTGTTAGGCTTCCTTGCACCCATGTTTAAATATTAGTTTTTCAGTGTTTAATTATCAAGTTATTGTATAGCAAGGTAAATATTTTTATACTATTTTGAGCTACTTTGCCTCTTGGGTTATAGTGGAGGTTGGGGTTTTGGTTTGGTTTCTCCTTCATCATTGTATTTTCTATTTTCTTTTTTTCTTTTTCTTGTTTTTTAAAGGTATCACATTCTTCAGGAGAGCTTAATCAAACTCGTGGAAGCTTGTAATGACCAAACACATAACATGGACCGATGGCTCGGTAGATTGGAGGCTTCGAACTGGCTGACTCACATCAAAGAGATTCTTACAACTGCTTGTCTAGCAGCTCAGTGCATCGACAGGTAAAGTGTATTTCAGTGTTCCAGAATGGGACACGTACTGCTAACTAGACCTTGCTTTTATCCAGACTACGTTTATATATTGTGTTAAAGTTTGCACCTGTCTATACCTTATGTTCAGATCATTGTATAAATTACTACATAAGATAGTCATTGCCATTCAGTTATCGATGAGGTATGTGCATAGAGTCTGGTATGTAATTGATGATTAATGAACCACATACATACACACATCTTCAATGATAAAACTTTTTTTTTAAGTACTAAAGGAACTATTTTTTTTCTATAAAATCCTTGAATTGTGAATCTACCATTTTTCCTTTTCTTAAACCATGAAAAAGAATGAAAAGAAGTTTTCTTGTTTGCTCTCAGAGGGCCAAACCTGCCTTCTTACTTTTGAAATATCAGTGAAAAGAAACATGTAATTCTGTTACACGGTAAAACAACTCTAATTTCTCAGGTACCTTATTAACAAACTACTTGATATGTGTAGTTATATCAGGATCTCAAGTTGAGCAAACCTGAGGGCAGTGATGTGAAGTATATGAAGTAATTTTATTCACTCAGTTGAAGATTGCTAATCCGTGAGACTTGAGGCAGAAGACTTGAACACAGAGGCAGAAGGATTGGTATAAGTTGTTGCAGAAGCTTAGAATGCCCTTTTTAAGAAGGGGATTCCTCTGAAACAATAGGTAGGTATAAGAATCACCACCACATAGTTGGATGGCACTTTTCCTTGAGACTGTAATTTGTTTTATTGATGCTTCCAAACTAAGGAAATACACATGTAATGTTTTTACGGTTAGTGAGAAATTGATCATAGAACAGGTTGCTTAAGATTATGTGGTGAGTTAATGACAAAACCAGTAATGGGTAGAGATTCTTGGTGTTGGGATTCGCAGGCTGTCGTTGTTCTTTGTCTTAGGCTTTACGGGTTAAAGAAGAGGTTCTGAGGCAGAGAAATCAATATTACGGAATGATGAGACATTAATTTGAAGGGTTTCGTTTCTTTTTAACCTAAGTTAAAAAGATATCCCCTTGCATGGTGAATACAGAGGCTTCCGGTTTCTTATGAACTGTAAATGACAATGAACATTTATCACCATGTTGTCTGAGATTGCAGCCATGATAATGGGATGCTACAGGTCAAGGCAACCCGAGGTGCAGAACAGTAATTTAACTCCACCTTCGTTTAGACTCAGCTGGCCACCGGAAACAAACAGGGACTTCCACGTTCTCATAAGCGTTGAAGGTTTTGGTTTATTTTGCCATGTTTGGGTTCCCTGTTCTGATATATACTAGCTTATTACTTATACCTCCATAAAAATCTGCCTTTGTAATTAATTGCTCAAAATGTAAGAATAGACCTTGAATGAATTGAGTTAAATTGAGAATATACCACAGATAACTAAGATATAGCGATTCAATGTATACATCAGAAGCTTTAAAATACTTGCTCATACCCTGCTCCTAGTCACAAGAGTTCATCCTAAGAATGAGGTTGTTAACCTAACCTTGGGTGAATGACAGGGAGTCTTATTTTCAAATTAAGAACTCTCAAATAATTTCACAGAAGACAAAAAGCTAAGTACAGTGTAACAAAAATTAGCAATGACCTAAATAACTCCTAAGACATTTAAGTAAATTTTAGTTGATCAACTAAGAATATTATATAACCATTGATACAGTACTTCTAAAGGTGATATGAAAACATAGGAAAATGTTTATAATAAAAGTGGAAATAATAAGCAATTACCTTTTGTTATAGCTACATAAAGGATATAAGTACAAGAATTAATAGCAGTAACCAAACTTGAAATTCTTGTGGGAAAGTGGTGAGGTTATTTTCCTTTTTCTTAATATTTTCTTCACTGTCATTTCAATATGAGAGTTGGAAGAAGGGGAGGGGAGATGTACTTAATTTAGTTTTTGGTGTTTTCTCCTACTGTCCTTAGAATAATGGGGTCCCAGACTCCTTCTAAGTATTGTGGTATGGTAATATCATTGCCACTGACTTTCTAGATTGACAGTTTTATGCTTGTTTGTTTTTTTGTTAGTTCTTTGTTTGTTTGTTTTTTAACTGTTTCTTCTTGGGGTGCCTGGATGGCTCAGTCGATAGGCATCTGTCTTCAGGTCAGGTCGTGATCCCAGCATCCTGGGATCGGGCCCCGCATCAGGCTCTCCACTCTGTGGGAGGCCGGCTTCTCCCTCTCCCACTCCCCCTGCTTGTGTTCTCTCTCTCGCTGTGTCTCTCTCTGTCAAATAGGTAAATAAAATCTTAAAAAAATAAAATAAATGTTTCTTCTTGTTTTCATGTTTCTGAAAGTGTGGTTCGGGTCTTGTTTCCTAGATCCATTAGATTACAGTTTATGAAGGCGTCCTTATAGTCAGCTGATGGTGAAAAGGTAGAATCAGGGTCAGAGAGATACAGAAAAATAATTTCAAGTGTATGTTTCTAGGTTTGATGAGAAGGGCTTTAATCAACTATTAAGGCAGAAAACATAAGCACCTATTGTGGTGATAATGACTGCTTTGGGGTTTTGTTAAAGGAGAAAAAATTCAACTAAAATGTTTTGTGAAGGTTGTTATAACTTAAAGAGGTTCTTGCCATGTGAAATTTGGAACCCATAGTTTTTCTTTCCTAAGAGAAGCTCTCTTCCTGTGCCTTAGTTCAACTCTAAACCCTACTGGACAGAGCAGAATGCATGAGTTGGAAATACTGTACTCAATAAATGTTTGTTATTAACAGAGTTGATTGACTGTGTTGGGAGTATCCCATTTGTACTCTGGATTTTCCTATCAGGGAAGGGGCATCCATATTGATTCATGGAACAGAAGGAACTGATTCCACACTTCAGGTTACCTCCCTGGCCCAGATCATCTTGGAACCAAGAAGCAGGACCATCCGTGGTTTTGAGGCCCTGATAGAAAGAGAGTGGCTGCAGGTGAGAAAAGCTGCTTGGTGTGCACAGGAACTGCTAATAATTGATGTGATCCCAGTTTGCAGGAGTGGAGAGAATGTATGACATTTTGATTGATTAAAATGCTTAAATTGTATGTTTACTTTTCTGGGAGCAGTTAATCTCTCTTCCTCTCAGTAAACGTTTATAATCTTTACTGCCTTTCCATTTTTGTGCCTCTCTCTGCTTATTTTGCTCATTTGGCGTTTCATTCCCTCAACAAACTCTCACTAATTGTACTTTGTTACCTACAGGGGAAATAACAAAGAATGTAAAATAGTCTAGAGATAAAAAACATAAACAAGGCAGGAAGCGTGTGAGGACTTGTACCTATAAGGGACGGGCTCTAGCACTTTCTGCCTTTTGCTTTTGGGGCTCCACTGTGTCCTCTTGCCCCACCAGGTGAAATCCTTCTCATGCTTTAGGATCCAGCTACATGTCGCTACTCCCATGAAGTCTTTGGGACCTTAACCTTCTTTACAGCTAAAAATCGATCCATTGTCTTCATGACTTGTTCCCTAAACTAGACCCAAATAAAGTGACTTCTCTGAGGTCAGGGAACCATGCCCAATTTCTCTTTTATCCCTAGGATATAACGCAGTGTTATTACATATGCTGAATGACAACTGAAATAAAGGCCCCATAAAATAGATTGAAATCCTCCCAAGTCAGAGGTTAACTTATAAATGTATATACACTGTGTAACTTAGTAAATAATCTGTGATTAAGAAAAGTGTTTAGATATATTTTGAAAGTAGAATTATCTCTGGAGAAAAATCATTTCTGGCCCTTCTAGTTAAAATTCAGATTTATTATGTGTTAATGCTGTTATGTATGCCATGTCTGTCTTACCCTGCCTGACGACTAATGTGTATCTCTGTTCAAGTCAGACCATCCCAAATATTTGGTAAAAATCTCTTCAGCAACATTCCTCATGATGCATAGCAAACAAATAAATGAATGTGATTTACTTACTTAAATATTACCATATTAATGGGTATCAAAATACCATTAGCCACTGGAAAATGTTCATAACATTTTCTTTGTCAGATGAGGTAGTATAAGGACCTAAAGGTAAAGCAAATGTGTGAAATACCTAGAAGGGTGTGATTTGGGATAAGATCAGTAATCAGTTTCTGGGTGGGCCAGAGATCCAAATGATTCTTAATTTCCTTTAGTCAGTAGAGGTCAGACTCTTCCAGTTCTTTTCAAGAGAAGAGGGGAACTAAGGACAATTTTATCTCTAATATAAAAGTATTCATAAAGATTTCTTCAATATAATAACTTTTTTCCACATGTAATTAAAAATTTAATATCAGGAGTGACCTTATAAAATTTGTGTGTGAGAGCTCCATATTTATTTCCATGTAGTGGTGAGGCTTATGTAGTTTACAATAATCTGTAACGCTTTGGAGAGAGAAAAGGTGATAGCTGTCTTTTGTTTGGTACCTAAAGACCTTATATTCTTTGACTTTGCTACAAATTATAGAGACCTAGAAAATTTTACTTTATAGAGTTCACCAAGGATAATTGCAGTTCTTAGGGTTATGCCTTAACTGCACAGCCTTGTTAAATATTTGGAAGTCGTGTTTTTTTCCTCAGCTGCTGAAAATTGTTTTAAACCAAGAAATTATTAGTCTAAATAGCAGCCATCCAAATTATATGGTGTTCCATTTAATAAGAGTTTCGTTGCAACTGTGTGAAATAATGTTAATGGAATGTGCTGTAAATAATAAATGTGCTCTCACTAGGCTATGACTGTCACATTTCCATCTTCTGTCTTAGGCTGGCCACCCATTCCAACAGCGCTGTGCACAGTCAGCCTATTGTAATAGTAAGCAGAAGTGGGAGTCACCTGTATTTCTCCTCTTCTTGGACTGTGTGTGGCAGATACTTCGTCAGTTTCCTTGTTCTTTTGAATTTAATGAGAATTTCCTCATCATGCTCTTTGAGCATGCATATGCCTCACAGTTTGGAACATTCCTGGGCAACAATGAAAGTGAAAGGTGGGTATACTGCTTACATGGGATGAGGGCCATTTTGTTTGTAGCTGTTTTGGTCACTTCCTAAAAGAGACCAGGATTTGGTTCTACATTACTGTTATTTATCAGATGGTAGAGGTTACAGTTAGTATAAATTAAATTACATGAAGTGTGTTCTTATGAGCCTATCACATGCTAGGTAAGAGCATGTCCTAGACTTTGTTCTTCTAGATTAAAATTAGTCCATACACTGATTTAAAACCTTTGAGTAAATTGGGCAACCATTTTAAATGTTAATTTCCTTATATAAGATCATAGTAATCTTACATCTGGAAGAAGCCTTAACATATACTCCAACTCTACCCTCCATCCAATTTTAAGATTGGGAGGGGAATACCCAGAAAGTTAAATGACTTGACCAGGGGCACACAGCCGGTTGGTCACCAGTAGTAGGGCTATAATACAGGTCTTCCTACTCCTGCTCCAGACTTTGTCTATTACCCCTGGAAACTGTCCTCAGGCCTCCTTTCACAGTCCAGACGCCATCAAGTTTATAGGTTTATTTAGAAGATTCCTATCAAAATGATCTTTAAAGGTGCCTAACTGGTAATCTCAGTTGGGTACAGTCAAAAGGCTTCCTCTTCTCTTTTTTCCTTTGTCATCCTAGCTAAAGGACAGTTTTGTTGGTCTTTTCAGAGAACCAACTTTTGGTTTCACTGATGCTCTCTGTTGTCTATTTTCTATTTCATCTATCTACTCTCTCCTCATTTTTTCCTTCTTTCTGCTAGTACTGGTTTACTTTGCCCTTCTTTTTCCAGTTCCTTAAGGTATAAAGTTACTGATTTAAAAGTTATTGATGTGAGATCTTTGTTCTTTTTTTTTTTTTTAAGATTTTATTTATTTGAGAGAGAGAGCACAAGCGGGGTGGGGCAGGGGGGTTGAGGGCCAGAGGCGGGGGGGAAGCAGACCCACATCTGATCAGGGAGCCCGATGCAGGGCTTGATCCCAGGACCCTGGATCATGACCTGACCCAAAGGCAAACACTTAATCGACTGAGCCACTGAGGCTCCCCGATCTTTCTTCTTTTTTTAATGTAGGTTTTTACTGCTATAAATTTCCATCTGAGCACTGTTTTCACTGAATCCCCATATGTTATATTAGCATGTTGTGTTTTTGTTTTCATTCATCTGTGTTTTTTCTTCTGTTACTGATTTCTAACTGTATGCTGTTGTAGTTGGAGAAGATATTTGTGTGACTTCAGTCTTTTAAAATGTATTGAGATTTGTTTTGTGGCCTAACCTGTGATATATCCTGAAGAATGTTTCATGTACACTTGAGAAGAATGTGTACTCTGATGTCATTGAGCAGAGTATTCTAGATTTGTCTTACATTTGTTCAAGTCATGTATTTCTTTTACTGGTCTTCTGTCTAGTTCAATACATTATCAAAAGTGGGATATTGCAGTCCTCAACTATATTGGAGAATTGTCTATTTCTCTATTTCGTTATGTTGATTTTTGCTTCCTGCATTTTGTGGCTCTGCTGCAAGGTACATATATGTTTATAATTATTATATCTTCTTGATGGATTGACTCTTTTTCAGTTTAAAATATCCTTCTTTGTCTCTTGTAAGAGTTTTTGTCCTAAAGTTTATTTCATCTGATGTAATATATCCATTCCAGCTCTCTCTTGGTGTGGAATGAATATTTGTGTGGAAAATCTTTTTTCATCCTTTTATTTTCAATCTGTTTGCATCTTTGAATCAGAAGTGAATCTTTTATAGACAGTATATAGTTGGATCATATTTTAGTCCATTCTGCCAATCTCTGCATTTTGTTTGGAGAGTTTACTTCATTTATATTTGTAGTGATTACTGAAAAGGAATGGCTTATTTCTGCCAGTTTGAGATTTATGTTGTTTGTCTTATACCTCTTTTGTTCTTCATCTCCTCCATTACTTGCCTTCCTATATGTTTGATACTTTATATAGTGTACTATCATGATTCCCTTCTTATTTTGTGTATATTAATTTTTTTTTTTTTTTTTTTACTGGTTACCAGGTGGATTTCAACTAATATCCTGGATGTAGAGTTCTTGGTAGGTAGTTTTTTGGTTTTGGTTTTGTTTTTTTTCCTTTTAGCACTTCAGAAATGTCATTGCTGTCCCTTCTGGCCTCCATAGTTTCTGATAAGAAATCTGTTGTAGAAGGATCATGTAGGATCCCTCTACATGAGGAGTTGCTTCTCTCCTGCTGCTTTCAAGATTCTCTCTCTGTCTGGCTTTTGTCAATTTGATTATAATGTGTCTTAGTTTGGGTCTCTTTGCCTTTATCCTTCTTGGAGCCTGTTGAACTTTTAAATGTGTAGATTCATGTCTTTTATCAAGTTTGGGGAGTTTTCAGCCCTTAATAATTTTGTGTGTGTGGTTCTTTTTGTGTTCAGTTTTTTCTATTTGTATTGAGGTATAATTGACCAATTGGCCATTAATTCTTTATATATTCTTTTGTTCCTTTGCTTTCTCTCTTCTCTTTCTGGGATTCCTATTATGCATATGTTGGTGCCCACAAGCTGCTTAGGCTCTGTTCATTTTTCTTTATTCTTTTTTTGTTCTTCTCAGAATGGGGAAGTTAAGTTGACCCATCTTCAGATTTGCTTACTCTTGTGCCTGCTCAGATCTGTTATTAAAACCATCTAGTTAGTTGTTTTGTTTTGTTTTGTTTTTTTCTGATATTGTACTTTTCAGTTCCAGAATTTCTGTTTGGTACTGTTTTATAATTTTGTCTGTTTATTGATATAGTCTAGGTTTTGAGACTTGTTCTCCTGGTTTCCTTTAGTTCTTTGTCCTTAGTTTTTGGGTTTTTTTGTTTTGTTTTGTTTTGTTGGGTTTTTTTTTTTAGCTCTTTGAGCATATTTAAGACTGTTGATTTAAAGTCTTCATCTCATAAAAGCAAAGTCAGTGCTTTCTTAGGGACAATTTCTGTTAATTTTTTTTCTATGACTGGGCTATACTTTCTAGGGGTCTTTTTTGCATCATTTGTAATTTTAAATCTGGACATTTAAAATATTACAACATAGTTCTCTGGAAATTAGATTCTTCCCACTCCTTGGAGTTTGTATTTATTACTTGCCATAAGCTGTAACTATTTATTTAGACCTTTGCTAAACTGTTTTGTGAGGTGTATTTTTTTCTCATGTGTAGTTTCTGAAGTATCTGTTCTGTAGTTTGTGTTCAGCTATTGTTTGACAGTGATTTCCTTGTTTTTTTTTTAAGTTTTTTTTTTGAAGATTTTTTATTTATTTATTTGAGAGGGAGAGAGAAGAGAGATAGAAAGCACGAGAAGGAAGAGGGTCAGAGGGAGAAGCAGACTCCCCGCTGAGCAGGAAGCCCGATGCGGGACGCATTGAATACCTGGAGCCAAAAGAGAGAGAGAGGAAAAGGGGGAGGGAAAAGTGAAAGGAAAACCCACTCCAGACAAAGGAAAAAAATCCTTTTGCAGTCTTTACAGATGGGCTTTATGCTGGAATATTCCTTCAGTGCTTTGTCAGGCCTCAGCCTTCACTTTTGGCCCTCACTGAGCCTAGAGATCAGTCAAAACCAAAATCTTGGGATCTTCTTGGGCCTTTTCGGAGCATGTTTCCTGCCTTAGGCATGCATATGGCTTTCTTAATTCCTTACTATACATGGGCAACTGTGAATACACTGCTTTTCCAAATAATCTTTTTCCTTGGGCTTTTGGTGCTCTGTTGTACCCCTCAACCATAATCTTTTCCCCCAGATGGCTGCAGGTTGTCCGTTCACCTTATGTTTTCTAGGAATGCCCACCGCTTTTCTGCCCATGGTGATTTCCAAGTTAGGTATAACAAAGACAGGTGCTTCAGGTAGCCCTTGGACAAGTTAGAACAGAGAGACACAATTCTTTGTGAATAAGGACTGCTTTATTCCCTCTGAAGCCAGGGACCAGGGTCCCATGCTAAGAGCATGGGCTGCCATCTTCAAGACCTCCATGAGCTAGGGTAAGGGTAGGGCAAGAGCAAATAAAAATATCATTAAGCTTTTTTATTGTTTTTCAAGTTTCCTTTTCCTTGATTCTTCATTTGCTTGTGTGCTGTAAACTTCTCTATTTCCCAGAAATCTGACAGAGTAGGTGCTAACAGTGTCTACTTGTGTCTTCAATGTTTCTCTGGAGGGATGGGCATTTGGAACTGCTTACTCTGCCATTTTTGGTGACATCAGTCTTCTTCATTTTTGAAGCACAGTTTTGCTGGTATAGACATCTTGGTCGGTAGTCTTTTTTTTTTTTTTTTAAGATTATTTATCTTAGAGAGAGAGTGTGTGGAGGGTTAAGGGCAGAGGCATAGGGAAAGAGAGAATCTTAAGCAGACTCGCACTGAGCACAGAGCCCAAAGCAGGGCTCAATCTCATGACCTGGAGATCACTACCTGAGATGAACCAAGAGTTGGACCACAACCAACTGTGTCACCCAGGTGCCCTGAATATGTCATACCACTGCTTTCTGGCCTCATGGTTTCTGATAAGTGAGCCATTACTTTCATTGAGGGTCCTCTGTATGTAATGGGTCATTTTTCTCTTACTGGTTTTACAATTCTCTTTTTCTTTGGCTTTTGACACTGATGTGTCTTAGTGTGGACACTTTGAATTTATCCTCCTTGGAGTTCCTTGATCTTCCAGGGTGTGTAGAATCACATTTGAGAAGTTTTCAGACATTATTTTTCAGACATTTGTTCTGCCCTTTTTTCTTCTCCTTCTGGAACTCCCATTGTGCATGTTGGTATTCCATAGGTTTGGAGGTATTCCATAAGTTTGGAGATTCTTTTCAATTTTCTTCAACTTTTCTTTCTTTTCTTCAGAAATTAATAATCTCAATTGACCTATCTTCGAATTCACTGATTCTTCTGCCAGCTTAAGTCTACTGTTGAGCTCCTGTGGTCATTTTTTCATTTCAGTTATACTTTCAAATCAGGATTTCTCTTTGGTTCTTTTTAAAATTTTTACCTCTTTACTGACATTGTCCATTTGGTATAGCATTGTTATCATACTTTCCTTTAATTTTTCAGGCATTTTTCTTTAGCTCTTCGAACTCATTTATGAAAGCTAATTTAAAGTCTTTGTCTAGTGGGGTGCCTGGGTGGCTTAGTCGGTTAAGCATCTGCCTTCAGCTCAGGTCATGATCCCAGGTCCTGGGTTCGACCCCTAGTGGTGCTCCCTGCTCAGCGGGGAGTCTGCTTCTCCCTCTCCTTCTGCTCCTCCCCCTACTCATGCTCACCCTCTCTCTTGCTTGCTCCCAAATAAATAAATAAAAATCTTAAATAAAATAAAGTCTTTGTCTAGTAAGTTCAATATGTCCTCCCTCTCCAAGGGACAATTTCTTTTGACTGCTTTTTTTTCCCCGAGTATGGACCACACATTCCTATTGCTTTGTATGTGTTGTAATTTGCTTTTTTTGAAAATTGATGTTTTAGATAATATGGCAAATCTGGAAATTAGATCCTCTACCTTCTGAATGAATAACTTTTTCCTCCTTTGCTCAGGGACCTTATGTGTGTTATTAGGCATGACTTCAACACTCAGGTAGTTCACAGCTCTGTTTTAGCCTTCAGCTTATACAGGGCCTCAGGTTCAGCCAGAGGAGAAAGAATTGGGGCTATCTCAAGCATTTCCTAGGTATGTGCATACCCTTTTGAATTTGCAGGAATATGTCAGAGCTTTACAAAGCCCCCATCTCACCCCCTGCTCCCCAGGGACATCTCATTCCCCAGATCTTTTATTTTTCCTAGGCTCTTATTTGCCTCAACTGGCATGACAGCCTCAGGCAACTGTGCTGTTAGATAGTTTCCTCTCATTGTTTTTGACAAATACCCTGGGGAATAGGGCTTTTCCCTCTGAGAACCTCAAACTGTGAGTCCTGTCAAATAACTACAAGACTCTACCAAGGAGGCTTTACCAGGAAGCTGCAAGAAACATCAAATCGTGACAGTGCTCTGGGGGTGGTATTTTTTGAGGAGCTCCAAAGCTGGTCTGCCCCTCCAGTGGCGACAAGGCTGCTGGTTTGCAGTGATAGTGCGGAGCCGGGGAAAGGGTGTTGGCATTGGCCAAGTTAAAATGCTCCGAGTCCTGTTCTTTCAGAGGTTCATTAGTTTTTCTTGAATGAGTGTTCCTCAGATTGTCACAAGCCTTTTGTTAATTTCGAGTCGTGAAAGTATTTATTCTGACTGTTTTTGCCACTGTTTTCATTACTTTTTGGAGAAGATACACAGAGGTCCTTACCCTACCATTCCAGAAGTCCCACACCTACGTGGAACATTTTAAACTATGCTCTGAGAAACTTGGGCTACCTTCCTTTTTACTGTCATCAGCTCCTTCCTCATTCTCTCCAATGTACTTTCATGGAAAATATTCAAGACTTGAAATTAGAAGATTTGAGTTTGAATCTCTACTATTGCCACTTACTAGCCATACGACTTCTCTGAATCTAGTTCTGCTCATGTTAAAGGCAAAAATAATCTCTGCCACACTGGGTTATAGTGAGGATCAAATGACGCACATGTGAAAACTAGCATAATACCTGTCACATAATAGGCATTTTAAAAATGTCAGTTCATTCATTCATTCTTCCTTGAATCTTCTATCACCTGCTTAGCCACAAGCCTGGAACTTAACCACTGATGGCATTTTGACACAGAACCCCACGGTATTACTCTGGCTGGCACATTGATTCTACTGAATGTGACAGCAAGTCCTTGATGTTCTATGTCATCTGATGCTTTAAAAAAGGAAAGATAATTGGTAACCTTTAGCAGTTGGGAGTCAGTATGTGAAATGAAGCGTATTTACAGTTTCTTTGATAGAGACTAATACCAAGCAGTGTTAAAAGGTATTACACTAATGGTTAGATATGCTTTTAAAATGCTGAACAAAAAACAAAGTTGTATATGTCAACAAGGCTTTGCTGTTATATTTTGGTTTTGGGTTTTTTTGTTTTTTAGGAGATTAAAGATTATATACGGTGATATGAGCACTGGGGATTATATGCAACTGATGAATTATTGAACACTACATCTGAAACTAATGATACACTATATGTTGGCTAATTGAATCTAAATTTAAAAAAAGATCACATACAAATAATCATCACAAAGGCAATGCTTCGTGGCACTTAAATGTGTTAGAAATCTAGTTCTTGTCCTGCCATTTCTTTTCTTTCTTTCTTTTTTTTTTTTTTAGAGAAAACTGGGGGTCGTGCATGTGTGCGCGCGCACACACACACACACACACACACACACACACACACACGGGAGCTGGGGGGGAGAGGCAGAGGGAGAGGAGGAGAGAGAAACTTAAGCAGGCTCTGCACCTAGCATAGAGCCTGATGTGGATTTTGATCTCATGACCCTGAGATCATACCTGAGCTGAAATCAAAAGTTGGATGCTTAACCAACTGAGCCACCCAAGCACCCCGAATCCTGCCATTTCTTAAAGCATGTTCAACTTAACCCCTAGACTATACTCTCCTGGGGGAGGGGGAGAATTGGTGATTTACCTTGGTTAAATTTGGGTAATGTGGTATAATGTAGTCCTCTCTCAAAAAGTCACAAAGTAATTGTTAAGGACTTTAAGACACTCTTCAATAAAGCAACATATATAACTTTAATTCAGCATTTAAATAATACGTTTGACTATGGACTTCTTACTAATATCTCCCAGAACTAGCCTTAATAAAGGAATCACAAATGCATTTTATCTCCCATTCTGATTGCCATTTGGTAGATCCTATGAGTAGGGCTGATTGAGAAGGATTCTGAAGCTGTATGGGTTGTGCTGTTATTGAGTTACAATGCTGGTTGAATTTTCTGACGAATATTTTTATTTTACACTATTTTATTTGTCTGTTAAAAGTTTTGTGTTCTGCCTTCTAACATACAGAGAAGAGAGACTGTCCCCTTGGGAGGAGCATTTAATAGTAGTTGTTATCATTTAATTGCTTTAATGGCAGTTTTCTTCCTTAATCAGATGTAAGTTGAAGTTGCAGCAGAAAACGATGTCTCTGTGGTCCTGGGTCAATCGGCCCAGTGAACTGAGGAAGTTCACCAATCCTCTCTTTGAAGCCAACAATCTTGTCATCTGGCCTTCAGTTGCTCCACAGAGTCTTCAGCTATGGGAAGGTAAGCTCTGCATCCTTTGCAGACTTTTTATCAGTAGTCAAGGACCCTCTCTGAACTGCCTCTTGAGTACTTACTGTTGTTGGTATTTGAAGCTGGTGAGTGGACCTGACCCTCAGACCTGTGTGTAACTGCTACTTTTTTCGCAGCACGGGCATGGTTCTCTCCTTCACATCCATTATCTAGTCGCATTTCTTTTGTTCAGTCCCCATTTCAGAAATGAACAGTGATTATTCAGTGGATACTGCTGTTTATATTGGATATTTTCGCTCGGTGGGAAGATACATTACTATTTTTAATCGTGATTACAACTTTACCAACTTAACCATGTTTAGGTATACAGTTCATTCTTGTCAAGTACATTCCTATTGTTGCAAAACAGGTCTCCAGAACTTTTCTTCTTGCAAATCTGACTGTATACTTAACTAAACAACTTCCCATTGCCCCTGGTAACTACCATTCTGCTTTCTGTGTCTATGAGTTCGACAACTCTAGATACCTCATGTGAGTGGGATCATACAGTATTTGTCTTTTTGTGAATGACTTCTTTCACTTAACATAATGTCCTCAAGATTCATCCATATCGTAGCCTGTGTCAGAATGTCTGAGGTTGAATAGTTTTCCATCGTATGTGTTTACCACATTTTGTTTACCCTTTCATACACTGATGGCCACTTGGGTTGCTTCCACCTTTTGGCACACAGATGCACAGATATCTCTTCAAGACACTGCTTTTGATTCTTTTGGGTATATACCCAGAAGTGGAATAGCTGGATCATATGATAATTCTGTTTAATTTTTGAGGAAGTACCATACCATTTTCCGTAACAGTTGCACCATTTTACAGTTCCACCAACAGTGCACAAGGGTTCCAATTTCTCCACATCCTTGCCAACACTTGTTATTTTCAGATTTTTCCCCCCTTTGGTAGTGGCCATTCTAATGGGTATGAGGGAAACTACATTACTTTTTGTGTAAGAAAGTTGGTAGGTAGTTGGGACAGGAATAAATCGTAAGCTCCAAGGAAATGGTTTCTGTTTCCTTTATTAAGCAGCCGTTGGGAAAGGTTCCTCTGTTAAATGCTATTGAAGGGTTAATGAACTAGTCATCCTAGTAAGGTTCTACAAACATACATAATGCTATCAGTGCAGTGATGCACATATCTCATTGTTCATGTGGAACAATAATCCATACTTAATTTTCCAATTCATTCTAAAGAAGGTATTTAACCTACATAAATTTTTCAGACTCCTGAAATTTATCTCCATAAATACCAAAGCTTGTCTTTAAAAAGCTGACCAAAACCTATCTGAACTATATTAGCCATCCCTTAAACAAAGATTACAAAATGCCATTCCTTTTTAATCATTTTGAAGGTATTAAGTACATCTTTATTCATTTTTGTATTTTTTTAAATATTTATTTATTTATTTATTTGAGAGAGAGAGAGCATGGGGGGGTGGCAGAGGGAGAGGGAGAGAGAGAATCTCAAGCCGACTTTTGCATTGAGCCCAATGAGGCACTTGATCTCATGACCCCAAGATCATGATCTGAGCCTAAACCAAGAGTCGGACACTTAACTGACTGAGCCACCCAGGCGCCCCTCATCTTTCTATTAGGCGGCACAAAGCCTACACACAAGGTGCTAGCTGTTTGGTAATTGAACTGAATTACCATAAATGTCAGTTGTTACACCACATTTTAATATGTTATGCCCACAAGGGCAGTTCATGTGTGGGAAACTGTTTGCCCTTTATCTGTAAAAGGGCCTCAGATTGCTTTGCTCTCTCAGTTTGAGACTAAGTCTGTTTCTGTCACTTCTCTGGATGTCAGCTCTCACGTCTCATTCCTCTTGGCATATCTGTCATTAGCTGCTTCCTTCCTCCTCAGTTTATGCTTCTAATCTTATCTGTTTAGGTGTCCCCAGGTTAGAATTGTGGGAAAGTGGCCTCAGATAGTCTCCAGGTTCTCGGGGTCTGAGCTTTAGTGCTTTGGGAATTTTTGGCTGCTCAGAACTTCTCTTTGCTTACTTTCTTCATTGTTGTAGTCACTGGTACAGGATAAGTGATCTCTTAAATGAGAGATTACAGCCAAACTTTTTGTTAAAGATTTCTGGGACAGTTTACCTAGAAGCCACTGTCATGTTGCTTGGGAGAAAAGCCAGATTTGGAGTTGGATGGCCTGAGGGACGATTTAACTAGTTTTTACCAAACCTCATTGAGAGTTTAGAGATGAACTGATTGGAGGAGATCTTCTTGTTACATGAATGAATTCCTACCATTCCATTAAGAACAGAGTTTCCATATGTGGTTAGTGCCCCAACTTAGAAATGGAAGAAATTCTGTGTGAGGTAAAATCTTATCATAGTGGGTATATGGGTTGTATAATGAGCTTAAAATGTCTCTCTTCTTGTTATATTTACATCATAGTTAGCCATTAGTATTAAGTAATTCCTGAATTGAAGAACAGGATTTTAAATACAAGCTCATATAATGGAAAAATCAACAAAGTCCAGTCTTTAAGCTATGTTTCTGTTTTCCCTTTCTGATAGAGAGTAGCTTTAGGGTTCTGGAAGTTTGGTTTATAGAAAGTGTTTTAAAGAATTATAAAACCTTTGTGAACTTATCAGCTACTGACAATATTGCTGCCTGGAAAGGTTTTGTAGCTCTTTATTTGAATGTCTTTAAGCCATGATGTTGGGATGATATAGCTAATGTAGATCTATGCAGATGAGGAAATGTTTCCTTTTAGTCTATAATAAAAGGATAATTATTAGGAAAAGAAGGACGTGCCTGTAGAATTGTAAGACCACCTCTTAAGAGACAGGGAGAGAGCGCACTGAAGTTTAGGCTTTCTGTTATTTTCCTTAATTGAAGTGTAGTTGACATATATTAGTTTCAGGTGTACAGCATAGTGATTCAACATTTGCATACATTACAAAGTGATCACCATGGTAAGTCTAGCTACAGCCTGTCACCGTACAAAATTGTTACACTGTTATTAACTATGTTCCCTAAGCTATACGTTGCATCCCCATGTCTTATTTATAAGTAGAAGTTTGTGCCTTTTAATTCCCTTCCCCTATTTTGTCCCATCACCCCATCTCCCTCCCCTGTAGCAACCATCAGATTGTTCTCTGTATCTGTGTTTCTGTTTTCTTTTGTTTGTTTTGTTTTGCTTTTGTTTTTTAGATTCCACATCTAAGTGAAATTATGTGGTATTTATCATTCTCCACCTGACTTATTTCACTTGGCATAATACCCTCTGGGCCCATCTATATTGTTGCAAATAGGAAGATGTCATTCTTTTTTATGGCTGGGTAGTATTCCACTGTGGTGTATCTATACCACATCTTCTTTATCCATTCATCTTTTGATGCACACTTAGGTTGCTTCCATACCTTGGCTATCATAAATAATGCTGCAGTTAACATAGGGATGCATATGTCTTTTTGAATTTGTGTGTTCATTTTCTTTGGATAAATACAAGAGAGTGGAAATGCGAAATCATATAGTAGTCTATTTTTAATATTCTGAGGAACCTCCATACTGTTTTCTGTAGTGGCTACACAATTTTGCATTCCCACCTACAGTGCATGAGGGTTCCCTTTTCTCTGCATCCTTGCCAATGGCTGTTATTTCTTGTCTTTTTGATCACTAGTCATTCTGACAGGTGTGAGCTAATACCTCATTGTGGTTTTGATTTGCATTTTACCCTGATGATTTGTGATGTTGAGCATCTTTTTATGTGTCTCTTGGCCAGCTATATGTCTTCTTTGGAGAAATGTCATTTTTTAATTGGATTGGTTTTTTTTGATAGTGAGTTATGTGATTCTTTTATATTTTTTATATTAACCCTTTATCAGTTATATCATTTCAAAATATCTTCTCCCATTCAGTAGGTTGCCCTTTGTTGATGGTTTCCTTCATTGTGCAAAAGCTTTCTAGTCTGATGTGGCCCCATTTGTTCATTTTTGCTTTTGTTAGCCTTTGCCTGACAAGACATATCCAAAAAATTACTGCTAAAACTGATGTCAAAGAGCTACTGCCTATGCTTTCTTCTAGGTGTTTTATCGTTTCTGTTCTTGCATTTAAATCTTTAATCCATTTTGAGTTTACTTTTGTATATGATGTAAGAAAGTGGTCCAGTACATTGTTTTGCATGTAGCTGTCCAGTTTTCCCAGCATCCTTTATTGAAGAGACTATCTTTTCCCCACTATATATTCTTGCCTTCTTTGTTGAAGATTAATTGACTGTCTTAAGTGTGGGCTTATTTCTGGACTCTATTCTGTTTTGTTGGTCTGTGTGTCTGTTTTTGTGCTGTTAACATAGTGTTTTGGTCACTGTAGCTTTGTAGTATATCTTGAAATCAGGGAAGGTGATACCTCCAGCTTTGTTCTTTTCTCAAGATTGCTTTAGCTATTTGGGGTCTTTTGTGGTTTCATACAGATTTTAGGATTATTTGTTCTATTTCTGTGAAAAATGTCTTTTGATAGGGATTGCATTGAATCTGTAGATGCTTTGGGTAGTATGGGCATTTTACAGTATTCTTCCAGTCCATGAGCGTGGTATATCTTCCCATTTATTTGTGCTGTTTCAGTTTCTTTTATCAATGTCTTACAGTTTTCAGAGTACAGGTCTTATACTTCTTTAGTGAAAGATCTTCCTCCTATCCCTGGGTATTTTTTATGCAGTTATAAATGGAATTGTTTTTCTTAATTTCTCTGATAGTTCATTATTAGTATATAAAAATGTGAATATATGTGTATTAATTTTGTATTCTTCAAACCTTACTGAATTTATTAGTTTCAATAGTTTTTTGGTGGAGTCATCAGGATTTCTTGTATATAGTATTATGTCATCTGCAGATAGTGGCAGTGTTGCTTCTTTTCCTATTTGGGAGCCTTTTATTTCTTTTTCTTGTCTGATTTCTGGGCTAGGATCTCTGATACTGTGTTGAGTAAAAGTAGTAGTAAGAGTAGGCCTCCTTGTCTTGTTTGTGATCTAGAGGAAAAGCTTTCAGCTTTTCACTGTTGTGTATGTTAGCTGTTGGTTTGTCATATATGGCCTCTATACTTAGTTTGTTGTGAGTTTTTAATCATAAATGAGTGTTGAATTTTATCATATGCTTTGTCTGCATCTGTTGAGACGATCACATGAGTTTATCCTTCTTTTTTTTAATGTGGCATGTTGTGTTGATTGACTTGTGGGTATTGAACCATCCTGGCATCCCTAGAATGAATCCTGCTTGATCATGGTGTGTGATGCTTTTCATGTATTGTTGAATTCACTTTGCTGATATTTTGCTCAGGATTTTTGCATCTGTGTTTATCAGGGCTGTTAGCCTATAATTTTCTTGCTTTGTGTGTGTGTGTTTGGTTTTGGTATCAGGGTAATGCTGGCCTCATGGAATGAGTTTGGAAACATTCCTTCCTCTTCACCTTTTTGGAATAGTTTGAGAAGAATAAGTATTAACTCTTCTCTAAATGTTCGGTAGAATTCACCTGTGAAGCCATCTGGTCCTAAGCTTTTGTTTGTTGGGAAGTTTAGGGTTTTAAATAACAATATGTATGGTTCAGCAGTTGCTCTAACTCTCACTTTTCTAGTGAAAGTGATTTTACACATGTATGAGGTCCTACGGGTCTGAGTAAAGTTCTGTAATTGAAATTCTGTAATTCACTGTATTGTGAAACTGGAAAATTTATGGCGTTTTAAGTTACCAGCTTATTTATAATCCTGGATATATCAGAGAATAGTGTTCTAATCCATTTCATAATTTTGTGGGGGGAGGTTGAAGAATGAATGATTATGTACATAGAAATAGTGATGTTTTTAGTGTATTTTGTTACACTTTCAGTACTTCAGGATTCCTGCTTCTTCCAGAGTATAATAAAACATAGGTGTGAATTGTAGGAAAAAGAAAAAAGAATGTATAATGATGGAATAATGTTAATCCATTGTATGTATCTTTTTGCCTTCTGTCTTCCTTTCCTGGATTCAATAGGTATTTTCCTACGTTGGAACAGATCCTCCAAGTATTTGGATGAAGCCTATGAAGAAATGGTTAACATCATTGAATATAACAAGGAATTACAAGCAAAAGTAAATGTACTCAGGAGGCAGTTGGCGGAACTGGAAACTGAGGATGGGACGCAGGAGAGTCCCTGAAAAATCTCCCACAACCGACATAAATAAGGACCTTCCTGGACCTGAGTCCCATCCCTCTCTCCTTTGGCCCTTCAGTTCACTTTTACACAGTAGCCTTGAACCTAAGGCTTTAGATGTGAGAACCCTCTAATGTAGTGGATTTCTCAGTACTTTATGAATGAAAGTTACTGTAATTCCTCATGTTTCATGTGGCCTGTTAGGCCTCTTTACTTTGGGAGCAGAAAGGAGGTGCTAGTCATTTTATTTTATGTGAAACAGGTGACCTATTTAATGCCATTTGTGTTATATGCCATTTAATCTAAGTTTTTTTTCTGTGTCTACTTTCCAAAACAGTGCTCCAGACCAGTCAAGGATATGATTAATCTCTTTAGGGAATATGTGTTAGTTTTAAAAAAGATCAGACGTAAACACTCCAAATACAGAAATATTTTTCAAAACTGAAATGGTTGTTAAACCAAGAATTTTGTGATTAACATGCTGTTTCCAATACCTTTGCCCTTCTCTTTAAAGTAGCTTTGGATTAACAGAGCTGAATTCATTCTCATTCTGGTTTGTTAAGAAAGGAAAATCTGAATATTTATTCAAGGTAAATATTTTTACAAAGGTTATAGGTATAATCCTTTGATATTTAGATTAAGAAGTAAATTTTAACAGTAGACAGTAAAAGTATGTGCAATATAGAAATAAAGTAGGAATTTGTTACTGATACGGTATTGTTAACTGTTGAATTGGTTTTTCAGGTTTTTTGACCATACATATTAAATGCATATCAAATGCTGGATATCCCATTAAACCATCATTTAGGATAGATGTTTGTTATAATTAAGCTACAAATATGGTTTCCTTAAACCAGAAATGCACTGCCCTTGTCTGAAGTTCTTACTGCACTGTTTCATGTATGTATGTGTGTTCAGTTTTATTATGTTTTGTTTTATTTTTAAGTATTCTGAGAGTTTACTAATCCTAAGCTTAAACCTTTCACGTTGGCTTGAACCTTTTGAAAATTTATCCTGACTGCTGATTTGTTCATTATATGTTGGGCAAATCTAATTGAAGTGGAGGTGAAAGTTGATGAACATGACACAGCTATGTTTTAAACTGCAGAAACAGATTGAAATGTGTCAATGTTATGCCTGTATTTATGCTATGCTTGTTTAGTCCTGCAACTCTACAAGTTTGTGGTTCAGTGCTTTCTATATACATTTCTGTTTTGTGGCACTGTTCATTTTAATAAATACTGTCAATTCTAGTTTTCCATTAAAAGGATAGTGGAAGAGTAACTGATTAATAACCATTTCCACCCCCTCTGTATATAACCATTTCAGTGTAAAGCACACCAAAACTGAACCCTGCTTTAGAGCTATGTATTGAGCTAAAAATAAAATTTAAAAAATATCTAGTCTAGCATAATCAATGGCCACATTCAGACACCTTAGAAAACAGCAAATACTTTCTATCTCCAGTTTCCCAAACTTTATCTTTTTTCTGTTTCCTTGGACTGGTAGCAAAAGGCTTGGAGAACAGCAACACATATCAGAACTCTCCTTTGGTATATTTGCCTGCCTTCTTCTCTAAGCTCAGATTTATTCTCGACTTATTTTCTTGGCTATAGTCATGAGTCTTCAGGCATTAGAGCCATCACAAAGGGGCGCCTGGGTGGCTCAGTCATTAAGCGTCTGCCTTCGGCTCAGGTCATGATCCCAGGGTCCTGGGATCAAGCCCCACATCGGGATCCCTGCTCATCAGGAAGCCTGCTTCTCCCTCTCCCACTGCCCCTGCTTGTGTTCCCTCTCTCGCTGTGTCTCTCTCTGTCAAATACATAAGTAAAATCTTTAAAGAAAAAAAAAAGCCATCACAAAAAGGCTACAGCAAGGAGCAAAGGAGATCTTGCTGTCGATACCTCCATGTTGTGTGAAATGTTTATATTAATCTTTTAAAAGAGGAAATACTCCAGCTTTTTTATTACCCCTTAAAATTACTTGCTGTATTTGTTCATGCAACTGATCTTTTTATTTGCTCCTATTTTTGTCTCAAGAGTAGATCTGAAGGAGCTCTTTTCTTCTCACTTAACGGACCCATAAGGAAAACCATTTGGAGTTTTGTTTTGTTTTTGTTTTTAGTGATTCTTTAGAAGTGACTCCCACTGGTGACACTGATTAGCCATAGGGCTTCTGTGGGTGGGAGCTTCTATTAGGCTCGGTCATGGAGAAAGTATATGCCATCAATTTATACCTGTCTTCCTGATGAACGTTTTTATGTGTGAGACATAGTCCAATAATAGCATAGTGTTTCTTTTTCTTTTTTTATTGTTATGTTAATCACCATCTTTTTCTTTCTTTTATCGAGGCAGCGATCTTAAGCTATTTGGACAAGTTTGCATTTTAGTATTAATTTATAATTAGGGATTGTGCAAACCTCAGTTCTGTTTAAAGGTCATAAAAACAAACTTTGATATCAGTGTATTTTCAAAGGGAACATCAAATAATGCAAATATCAGGGTTTTTCCCAAACTCAAGAACTGTGTCAGACGTGCATTATCAATATAATTTAAAGAGGGATTTTAGTAATATTATGAAGTTACCCATTCCTTGGATAAGAAGAATACATACAGTGGATATACTCATGAGAAGATACTTGTTAAACATTAAGTTTGGAGAATTAGCTTTGATAAATGTGGCTTTAAAAACTTGAATGAAGGGAGTGGTGGCAGAATTAGTGAGCAAGCGAATTACCCCATAGGAGCCAATAATAACCAAGTGAGAGAAAATCAAGTTTATATATATTAAGCATCGTATGTATTCATTTATAGTAAAGGCTGGTTTACATTTTGGGGATGCAAAAGTAGGTCCTACAGAGAATATTCTAAAAATACAAAAGATTGCTACAGTCTTCTATCGGCAGTACAAGGATCCTTAGATTTTAAATTAACAATTTTTTTTTAGAAACCACAAGAACATGGTTGATTATATTAAGATTTTGAAACTTTTTGGGTGGTTAAGACTTTTTCAGTAATTGGTCAAAATTTTTCATTCTGGTTTTATTAAATGGGAAGAAAACAGCAGAAAGTTAATAAAATCTAATAGAATTAAAACAACCTATAAATATATTTTGTTTCTGAGAAAAATTAGGCCTTTGAAACAAGATTTTAAAGTGATTTTTGGGAAACTTTGGAAGACAATAGTCATTTCAGATCCCATATGGGTAATTTAAAAGCTTTTCTTTGAACTCTGAGGCCTGACTTACAGAGGTGATATGTCATTACTTTTCATTTTAAAGGATGAAATTTAGTGATATTTTAGCTTTTGAGTATTTATATTAACTTAAAAAATCAGTATCATGGGAAAGATCTGATCAGTAGTTTGTCTCTTGAAGTGAAAAATAGAAGGAACGTTTTGCTGTACTTAAAAAAAAGAAATCGGGGTGCCTGGGTGGCTCAGGTCATGATCTCAGGCTCCTGGGATCGAGCCCCATGTCGGGCTCCCTGCTCAGCGGGGAGCCTGCTTTTCCCTCTCCCTGCTGCTCATGCTATCTCTCTCTCCTACAAATAAATAAATAAATAAATAAATAAATAAATAAATAAATAAAAGTAAATAATTTTTAAAAATTTAAAATCTGCTTAGTAGAGATGTAACTCTTGTGGTTAATCTGGTTTCGGAATTAGCTATTTTAACTGTCAGTCTTAACCAGTTCATCAGGTTCACTTACTGTCAGACCCCAACCTGAGGCAAAATTTTGGTAACTACAAGAGGTTATCATGAGCACCTTTTATCAGAAGGTTATTTCCTGGACCAAAAAAAAGGCAAATTTTAGAATTTGCCCCTGTTCTGGCAGCTTTGAAATTTCCCAGAGAATGAAATCATTCAGTACATCTGGTACAGGTTTATTATACCTCAAGACAACATAGATTACTTATTATTCTTTAATGTGGGTTAGATCTTTTCCCCCTCCAGAGCTGATATCCTAAGTTATTACCAGATAGTATTTTTATGTAATTCACCATCTTAACAAAAAACATTTAAAGACTGATTTCTCCATTAATATTTATTCTCAGATGATACGAAGTGCTAATTTTTTTATCGTATCAGTTTTCTGATTTTTTTTCTTAAGTAAACTATTTCTCCCATCACTCAGTCTTTATATCGTGTCCACAGCATCTTCTTCCTTTAAACCAGTAGCTCAGACGAGACCCTATGAAACTGTAGGATGAGGTTTGGGAAGGTGTGAACTTCTTATCTAAATTCCCCTTAAGAAAGTCCTATTTTTGAACTCGTTGTGGAACTGTAGTTTGTGCTTAATTCAGTGAAAGATAGTGGGGCTCACTGTAGACACTACATTGTCCTAAAAAATAATTCCTGATGAGAGCTTCCTGATGCTTAGAACCATTCTGTTTTAACTACCTGTGAGTATACAGATTAAGTGTATTGGTAATTTGTAATAAAAACAACTTGTGCAACACTGCCCGTGTCTCTGCCCAAGACATTTTCCATTTTCTTCACTTTTAAAATGCACATATCTTTGGAGACGTGGATTATTCTACACAAGTACACTGAGTTGTGTTGCTTAGAATCCTTATAGATTATTACCATCTACACTAAAAATGTACTTGCACAATGTAGTTATATAAAAAAAAGAATATGTATTTCTTCAATAGCCGGGTATTTGGATTGTATTCTTGATATATTTGAATGTGACTCTTGGATTTAAGTGCACTATTATTCATGTCTTACACAATAAAATTGCACTGTATGGCAAATATGTCTGTAACGTATGCTTTGCTAAAACCTCAGAGTGCTGTAATGGACAGGTTTCTGTTATGTGAACCTGCCTATATAAAGTCTTAGGGAAGAATTCTAAACTTTTTTAAAGTCTTTGTAACATTTTAATATTATTTTAATGTTCCCTATGTGATCACTTCACTTATGTACTAAAACTGGAATCATTCATCATGAGTCAGCTGCTTTGTCAAGCTTGGTTTACTTAATCATGAAACAGTCTTGTCGAACATGGTACTGTTATCTTGGTATGTAAGATTTGTGTGTGTGTGCTCTCTGCCTCAGAGGACTGTTGCACAGATGCTAGTGTTAAATGTCTACAGACAGTGGTAATAAAATTTGAATATATTCAAATGCTGGTAAATTTAAAACTATAGGCTGACTTTAATTTTTTTTCAAATATCTGTGAAAGTTTTGGCAGTGTGTCTCAAAACTGCTGTATATAGGCCTTATATTTTGAAGGAAGCCAGATCCACAAAAAAGTTGCAAAACAGTACAATGATCTTCCATATACTGTTCAGTTAGATTGAATAATTAACATTTGTCACATTTGACTTGACACTCCTGATTGTGTGTGTATTGTTATTTTGCTGAAGCATTCGAGGATAAGCTACAGACATCATAACCTTTCTACATAAATATTTCAAAGATATCTCTCAAGATTTAGGCATATGTAGGGCGCCTGGGTGGCTCAGATGGTTAAGCATCTGCCTTCGGCTCAGGTCATGATCCCAGAGTCCTGGGATCGAGTCCCGCATCAGGCTCCTTGCTCCTTGGGAGCCTGCTTCTCCCTCTGCCTCTCTCTCTCTCTCTCTGTCTCTCATGAATAAATAAAATCTTAAAAAAAAAAAAGATTTAGGCGTATGTATTATACATTCTGTGTACTCAGTTTGTATCACCATGAATAAATCCATGAAGGAAAAGGGAAGGCTCTCTGTTAGAATAATAGCGACCTATGAAACAGGAAGAATGACAAAATTAGAAAGTCACTATTTGGCAGACACTGCAGTAATAATTGATCTAGGCAGTTATCATCTGTGGGTGCTAAAACTGGCAGGTGAGTTTGTAAGGGAAAGCATATAATCTCAAAGTATCTTTACATAAAATAAAATACTAGTTAGAAAGGAGGAAAACAGTAACTTTACAGTGAAGGAACCAGGTAGGTATCACCTTACCCACGCACAATTAGCATTACTAGTAATGGGACATACCACTATCATGGATCGTAACTACTAAGAGCAAAGCATCACCTTTGTGGCATTCTTGGATTTTTTTTTTAAAGATTCATTTTTTAGAGCGAGCAGGGGTGGGGAGAGGAGGGGGGTAAGCAGACTCCACGCTGAGCACACAGCCCGACGTGGGCTTGATCCCAGAACCCTGAGACCGCAACCTGAGCTGAAATCAAGAGTCAAATACTCAACCGACTGAGCCACCTTCAGTGGCCCCCCTTTTGTGCCATTTTTGTAAAAACAAACTCAAAAAGCACAACCTGGATCTAATTATAAGGAAGCATCAGGCCAATTTAAATTGAGGGACCTTCTACAACGTAACTGGTCGTATGAAGTTTATGGAAGAAAAGGAAAGAAAAACTTTTGTAAGTTTGAACTTCAAAAGTTTTAAGAAT